TATTTTATTAGATAACTCATTCATTTTGTAATCATTTTTTAATTCCAAGTACTCAATTTATTATAATTTGGGAGAAAATTTAAATTTATCTAGACAAAAAAAATGTTGGATAAATTTTTATTCAATTTGTTTTTACTAGTTTTAAAATATTTATTCTAATCTTATTTTTTTTAAAATATTCAATTTGATCCTTTAATTTAAAAAAATGTTTAATATTATTCTTTTATCCAATTTCATTAATGACATTAATATCAATTTAAGCAAAAGAGAAACATTAAACATATTTTTAAAAGTAAAAGGTAAAATGAATCTTTTAAAAATAATGAAATTAAATTAAATCTTAAAAATAAATAGAGAGATTAAAAATATAATTTAAGATAATAAAAATTATAACAATATTTTAAACATGTTCACGGCAAAGACAACTAAACATGGCATGAGAGATGCATGGATCAAAATAAAATGGTTGAAAATTTTTCATATAAATATACTTTAATTTAATTTACATGGCTAAATAAAATGTATTGGAAATGTGTGAAAAGTCCGAAGAGAAAAACACAAGAATAAAGAAGATTAATAAATAAGACATGAAGAGGGAAATGGTAGGTTAAAAAATAGAAAAAGTATGAATAGATAAAACACTGAAATTTTTATTAAAAAAAATTAAATGTGATTTGAAAACACGCATAGAGAAGTAAAAAAAAATTCAAATTCAAATTCAAAACAGAATAAATGTAGAGTAAAAGAGAGAAACAATCAACTCCTACATAAGTGTCTATCCATTATAGCATTTTTGAGATTTTTTTAACTTTGTAATTCACTTTTTATTTATTAATTTATTTATGGATTAATTTTGTAATATTTTAAAATAAATTATTAGTAATTAAAAATAAATTGTGTCACTATTTATCTTAAATCAAAAATATAATTTATATATTTTAAAATATTTATTTATATAAATTTTAAATATAATTTATATATTTAAATATAATATTTATTTATATATAATTTATTATAAAATTTAGTTGTATATACTGTGAAATAAATATGTCAATATTTTAGTTATTTCATCGATCAGATTTCAAATTTTAGTAATTTGATTAAGTAATATGAACTCATTGCGTTAACTTAAAACAATGACTTTCATGCACTGATGACCACTACCTTTTCTTCATCTCTTGAAAACAATATCATAATATAAAAAATTACTAATAATTATAAAAGTTAAATGAATTCATAAGTTTTTATAATTTCATCAATTTCTTAAAATGTAAAATTATTTTTCATGTCATGTGCTTAGTTGGAAAAATTTTGAGGTATCCACACCTCCATATTACAGGTACCAAGTCTCGTCTTTAACCATTAGGAAGTGCATAAGCTTGTGTGCAGAAATGATATTGGATTCACATTCTTTGTTGTGATGTTAAAAAACAAATAGTTATAACCGTGTGATTTTTTATGTCTCAACTAGGGATGGCAACAGGACAAGGAGGACAAGGCAGGCGCGAGTTTTACGTTTCCCGCCCTGCTTTTGTAAATTTAAATTGTCCCGCTTCTGATACTCGCTGGAAGTAAAATCTGGGTATCCATTCTGTTCTCGGCGAGATTTGGGTTTCCTCGCCCTGCCCCGACCTTGCTCCTATTTTTTTTTTATTTAAATAAATATGAACAAATTTTAAAAAATATATATATAATAATTAATGTCTTTCTCTAGTTAACTTGATGGAGGTTGGTTTTGACCATTCACTAGGAAATTAGGAAGCTTCATGGTGTTTAAGGGATCAAATCCCCAACAGCCACATAATTAAAGGATTGCTATGATACTGTATCATGTGAAAGTTTTATAATGTCGATAGATGCAAAGATTTTGTTGAGATGTAAGTAAAATATCATATCATTTAAATAAAAGAATAAATATGAGTTTATATACACACAATTATTTTTATTAATAAAAGATATTTTGAGTGATGTCTAAAAATAAAACTGTCAGGACTTAGATTTAAAGTGGACAATATAAAATCTCTTGTATCAAAAAATTTTCTAATAGCATGGAGGATGAACATGAGTCTTCCTAATGGTAGGTTTGGAGTTGACTCTTCCTAATAATGGGTCCATATATATGGAAGAATGGAGGAGTGTCCTCCTAGTTTCATGGAGGATGAACATAGGTCTTCTTATCGATGAGTTCGAAATTAACTTATGGATCTGGATACCTTGTATCGAAAGTATTCCTAATGGTGGGTTCATATATGAAGGAGTGTCCTCTTGAAAACATGGAGGATGAATGAGTCTTCCTAACGATGGATTCATATATGGAGGAGTGTTATCTTGGTAACATGGAGGATAAATATGAGTTTATATATACACAATTATCTTCATTAGTGAAAGGTCTTTTAAATGATGTCTAAAATCAAAATCATAATAAAAAAATGTATGTACTCAAAATAGATATTATTTTATTAATATAGAAACATGTGTGTGCTCAACCCTAATGCACAATAAATTTGAAATGAAAAATGATTAAGTCTCTGAACGCGTGTACCGAAATTCATTCTGAATAATTAAAATAATAATTTAAATAATAAAATATTAAATTAAATAATTATTTTATAATAAATTTATTAAAAA